ATGTTTCCAAAGCTTGAACAAGTGAATAGAGCTCCTTGTCATATGTAGGATAATTAAGCGCCGCTCCACTAAGCTTTTCACTAGAGTATGCATTCGGCCTCTTATCCTGCATCAAAACTGCTCCAATACCTATTCCTGATACATCACACTTAATCTTGAAAGTTTTGTCAAAGTTAGGTAATGCTAAAGTCGGTGCTTCACATAACCTTTCCTTAATAATATTGAAAGCATGCTCTTGTTCATTTTCCCATTTAAAACCCACACTCTATTTTAACAATTTTCGTGAGTGGTGTGGTGATAGTGCTAAAATCTTTAACAAATCGCCTATAAAAGCTAGTCAATCCATGAAAACTTCTCACCACGGTTATAGTTTTAGGTGTTGGCCACTTTAATAGCCTTTATCTTTTCCTTATCTACTTCCACCCCATTAGCACTAACTACAAATCCTAGGAACACAACCTTATCCATGCAAAATGTACACTTCTTGAAGTTAGCATAAAGTTGTTCATTCCTTAACACCGCAAGCGCACATCTCAAATGTTCTATATGTTCATTGAGGTCCTTACTATAGATTAAAATGTCATCAAAGTATACCATAATAAACTTTTCTATAAAAGCACGCAAAACATGATTCATTAGACGCATAAAAGTGCTCGGTGGATTCGTGAGTCCAAATGGCATGACTAACCATTCATACAAGCCATATTTAGTTTTAAATACAGTTTTCCACTCATCTCCATCTCTCATGCGAATTTGATGGTAACCACTCTTAAGGTCAATTTTGCTAAATATGCATGCATCAAATAGTTCATCCAACATATCATCTAACCTAGGAATAGGGTGACGATACTTTACTGTTATGTTATTGATGGCCCTGCAATCCACGCACATTCTCCAAGATACATCCTTCTTTGGTTCTAGTAGCACGGGTACGGCTCGTGGACTCATGTTCTCCTTCACGTGTCCCTTGCTCATCAACTCCTCCACTTGCCTTTCAAGTTCCTTTGTTTCCTCGGGATTACTTCGGTAAGCTGGTTCGTTTGGAATGGTTGCACCGAGTACAAAGTCAATTTGTTGTTCAATGCCTCAAATGGGTGGTAGCCCACGTGGCACGTCCTTCAGGAATATATCGTCAAATTCCTGCAATAAAGAAATTGCCAAACTAGGGAGGGATATATTAGCTTCCTCAAGATTGAGGAATGACTCCTTGTACACCAAAAGAATCATTTGTTACCTCCCCACAATTGCTTTTTTCAATTCACTCCATTTCACAAAGAAACTCATTTTTGGCTTTTCTCTCCTTTCGGAAGACTCACCTTCTTTTCTCTCTTGTAGCTTCCCTCTTTCTTTCTCTCTTTTAGCCACCTCACTATTTTCTCTCTTGTTTGTCATCTCACTGTTTTCTCTTTTGCTCTCTTGCCTAATTCTTTCTCTCATTTCCTCTAACTCTTTCTTTCTCTTTTCATCCTCATTTTTCAATTTGATTTGGTCATCATACACATGTGCCAGTGTTAATGGTGCCAGTGTAATAAGCTTTCCTGCATTGACAAAGTTGTACCTATTTTTATACCCATCATGCATCACTTTTCTATCATATTGCCACGGCCTACCTAACAAGATATGACCCGCACGTATATGTACTACATCACATAACACTTCGTCCCTGTAACTCCCAATTGAAAAATTTATGAACACCCTCCTATTCACCTTGACTTTCCCACATTCATTTACCCATTGCAACTTCTAGTGTTTAGGGTGTTTAAGCATCATTAGTCCTAATTTCTCCTCAACATTAGTGCTAACTACATTTGTACAACTCCCACCATGAAAAAGTATGAATGCTAGTTTGGTCTAATGAACAAAATGTTAAGAATTTGGGTTCCATCTTAAAAGCTCAACCTTGTTAAGAGGAGTAGCACAATCCTTTATAAGTTGGTCTATGTTTACATCTTTATTCGATGTGAAATTTATATCCCTTAATAGTAATCTACCAAGGGAACAAACTAATGAAATTTAAAATTACAATAACTTTTAAAGCTAAAATTAAGTTTAACAGTAATTTTCGTTCAAAGTCCAACGATCACACTTGACCTTTTCACACCAAGAAATGAAGTCGCTGACTCCATTCACACACCTTTCCAACAACAAATGAAGTCGATGACCCAACTATTCTCTATTATAACTATGAGCTCTAATTTCCGCTAACTTAAAACTTTCTAAGTGTCTAATAAAATTTTTTGTACACAATAGTGATGATTTTAAAGTTATGATAGTTGAAAAAATTCTTCATAAAAAATTGATTGCCATTTTAATCACACAATAAAGTTTTCGACTTGCAATAATTGTTATGAAATTTTAGTAATTCAATTATCTTAATAGATGCCAATATATTTAGTTCGAGACAAACATATTCCACAAGGAATCAATATTTAAATAGTCATACGGTTGGTAAGCATGGGCGGATCTACCTTGGGGGCAGTGGACTGCTCCCAAAATAAATTTGAAAATTGCTATTTTGGCCAAGATTTTTTTAAAAAATTTCAAAAAAGTCCTCTTATTTTTTAACTTTTGCCCCCACGATTATGTTTTCTAGCTCCGCCCCCTGTTGGTAAGTTACTGAATCAGGGAATAAATCCACCAACTTCATGTGATACTCATTTCATGTGGAACTTTCAAAGGAGAAAGAAAGAAAAAATTATTCCATTTTTTTTAGGGAAATAAAGTTATTCATTCATCAAATCATCAATTAGTACAATTGAAAGAAATAAAGGCGAAAAATAAGACCATTCAACAATAGCATGTAAAGAACTAGCGGTCTTAGCTAGTGTGTGAGCTACTTGATTAGCCGATCTCCTAGCCCAGCTGAACTTGAGATTCGGTAANGAATAAAGGCGGGAAATAGGACCAACAAACACTATCATGTAATGCACAAGCAGCCTTGGCGAGTGTGTGAGCTACTTGATTAGCCGATCTCCTAACCCAGCTGAACTTGAGATTCTGTAATTCTCTAGCAAGGAGGCAACACTCATCAATAGAATACTAAAATAAGAATTGTCAGCACCATCACTCTGTAGAGCACTCTAAACCAGGAGAGCATCCATCTCAATGGTTTGGACTTCAAGAAATTTAGATTTAATCCAAGAAAGAGCCTCACGAACCCCCAAAGTTTCGGCTAGAAGTGGGTCGACAATACCTTGTACAGTAACAACTCTGGCAGCAACAAAGGAACCCAAGTCATTTCGAATCACTAGGCCTAACCCAGCTTTCCCTTGGTCTTCAAAGATGGCTGCATCAATATTTAATTTAAGGAAACCTGTAGTAGGTGATTTCAACTTAACAAGCTCCGGTCTATTGGAGTGACCGCGGGTTTTGAAGGTGGCTGGTTAGCATCTCACCATTGCTGTTGGAAATTTTTTGCAATAATCACCACCTTAAGAACTGTAAACGACTTAGCATTCCAAACAATTTCATTTCGGTTCATCCATATAGCCCAACAAAGCATAGCAATAATCTCTTGATCTTGTTGGTGATTCTTTAAGGTAGCTGTGAGCCAGTCTTTGAAATTAGCAACCAAGAGGGGTGGACTGGCTACTCCAACTGTCTCCCAAACCTTTTGGGCAAATTCAAAAGAGACAAAAACATGGAGAATAGATTCTTCATGCATTAAGCAAATCGGGTAATGGCTATCAACGTCGACTCTTTTAGCCCTCAATTGATCAATTGTTGGAAGAACATTGCCCTCCAAATTAAATTTCGAACCTTCGTCGGAATTTTATATCTCCAAATTTTGTTCCAAAAACTCTCAATAATAGTATGAGAGTGTATGAAAGAATCCGCCATCAATAGCTTATACCTACTTCTGACCGAGTAAACACCCTTCTTGTCATGAATCCAGTACATTCGATCCTCCTCCCATGTGCTGTTAGGGGAATTTTCATGATTTGCCCATGGTCTTCCTCATTAAAAAGATCAGCAAGAAGATTGTAGTCCCAACTATCCCATGTGCTGTTAGGGGAATTTTCATGATCTGCCCATGGTCTTCCTCATTAAAAAGATCAGCAAGAAGATTGTAGTCCCAACTATTCTCCCCTGCTAAGATAAGTTGATCAACGGTGGCATATTCTCTTCATGGGCTTGGTTCTGAAGTGACAAAACCTTTGCTGGGGTTAGAAAGCCAAGGGTCATGCTAGATTCTAATCAAGGAGCTATTTTCCACTCGGAATCTACACCCATCTTTCAAGACAGATTTAGCAGCAAGTATACTGCACCAGATATAACTTGGCCTATAGCCAATATTAGCTTCCAAGAATGTTGAATAAGGAAAATAGCGTGCCTTATAGATCCGAGCAACCAAAGATGTAGGCTGTGTTAGTAGCTTCTAACCGAGCTTACCGAGTAGAGCTAGATTAGTTTCATGCAACTTCTTGAATCTCATACCACCTTTTAATTTTGGAGGGCTGGGTTTGTCCCATGCAATCCAATTGATGTCTCTGTTTCTCCCTTTATTAGATTTCCACCAAAATTTATTCATGATTCTCTCAAGTTCTTCACAAAGTTGAGTAGGTAATAGAAACACACTCATAGAGAAATTAGGAACAGCTTGGGTGACGGTCTTAATAAGGATTTCTTTTCCCGCTCTAAATAAGCACTTCTCTTTCCATCCCTGAACTCGTTGCCAAACCCGATCTTTAATGAAAGAGAACACCTCTCTCTTCTTCCTTCCAATGATAGATGGCAAACCAAGGTACTTGTCATGTCCTTGGAAAGCTTGAATACCCAAATTACAACGAATAGCGATCTGCCTCTCGAGGTCAACATTGTTGCTGAAATAAAAAGTAGATTTCTAGTAATTGATGAATTGGCCTGATTCTATTTCAGATTTGTGAAGTAGCTCCTTAATTTCATCACATTCCCTTATGTTGGCTCAAAAAAACAACAAGCTATCATCCGCGAAGAAAAGATGAGTAAGAGTGGAGCATATCTTGCAATTCTGCAACCATGGATAGCGCTGACACCTCTTTAGAATGAATAAGAGAGGATAACCCTTCCGAGCAAAGGATGAATAAATATGGCGATAGAGGGCAGCCTTGTCGCAATCCCCGTTCCGAAAAAATGGGTCCAATATCGAAACCCCCATGAACAACATGATACCGAATGGTAGAGACACATAAAGTGATCAAATCAATCCAATTTTGAGGGAACCCCATATGAGTCATCACTTGCTTCAAAAATCCCCATTCGAGCCGATCATATGCCTTGCTAATGTCAATTTTAAGAGTAGCCATGCCATGTTTACCACGATTCTTTTTTCTTCATATGATGAAGAACCTCAAATGCCAACATAATATTATCGATTATGGATCGACTGGGAACAAATGCACATTGCGTCTCTGAAATGACATCCGGCAAGATTAATTTGAGGCGATTAGCAAAAGTTTTGGCCACTATTTTATACAAAACATTGCATAGAGATATTGGCCTAAAATCTTGCATAACCTCAGGATTGCCTTTTTTTGGAATGAGAACAATGGAGGTGTCATTGAAACCTACAGGGAAAGTGTAAGTGTTCAAGCAATTTAAACACAAGGAGGTTACATCCTTACCAACAACCTCCCAAAATTTTCGATAGAAAGCTGGGTTCATGCCTTTCGGTCCCAGAGCCTTATTAGAGTGCATGTCGAATATGGCTTTTTGAATCTCTTGAGCTGTAAACGGGGCTGCTAGCATTTTATAATGGGAGTCAGATATGTGAACATTAATTTCCTCAACCACCAAACCTGGAACATCACTTTGAGTAGAAGATTTGAAAAGATCATGAAAATATTCAGAGATAATCCCATGAACGGCAACTCTGTCCGAAAACTAGTTTCCATATTGACCCTTGAGGCGCTGAATTTCATTCAATCGTTTTCGAGAAGAGGCTGGCTTATGGAAATATTTAGTGTTAGAGTCTCCATCTTTCAGCCAAAGCTTTCTAGATCTTTGCTTCCAGTAGAGTTCTTTCTGGCGAAGAGCTTTGAAGTAACCAGATTGGGCCTTGCGAAAATCCCGAATGCCGACAGAATCCATTCTCCTATGAAGAATGTCCATAGCGAGTCTGTATTATTTTATCTTGAAATTGAGTTGTCTTAATCCGGACCCTCCCCAACAAAGGAGGTCATCATCGTAATATTTGATGCGGTTGAGGGTAGGTTCTCCCACGGTCCGGTCCCAACTCGACTGGACAACATCCTTACAATCGTCTTCTCGGAGCCATAGATTTTCAAAGTGGAACTTCATGTGAATTGGTCGTGGTAAGAGTGAGACTGGTCCTTCTAGTTGTGGGAAGATATGGGCATGATAAGATGAAAATTGTCCTAAGTTATGAACCTGGTCACTTTGAAAGATATCAGTCCATGTTGTAGTAGCAAGAGCCCAGTCTAGTCTTTCATCCACCCATCGTGGTGAACCCCTACTTTTAAACCACGTGTATTGATACCCCACCATTCCTAGGTCGTAAAGGTGACAATCTTCTATAGTCTCCTTGAATCCATTGAGAAGCCAATTCGGATGTTCGTGTTGTCCCATCTTTTCAGGTTGGAATAAAAGGTCATTATCCAAGACAAACCCACGTGATGGAGGATGAAGAAGCAAGAAGTCTCAATTGGTCCCAACTCTCACATCGTTCGCTATGGTCCGGATTGCCATAGTAACCTGTGAATCGCCATTTTGGTTGTCCAACTAAAGTTACTTCAACATCGATATGGTAACGGGAAACGCTAATGAGGCTAGCCATATTATGCTTCTTCCACATTAGAGCAAGGCCACCACTATGGCCAATACAATCAACAACAACACAACAATTTCAATTTAATTTATTTTTAATAGATAGAATTTTCTAGTTACAAGATAAAGTCTTAATAAGGAAAATAAAACTGGGCTTATTTTGAAGAACAAGGTCGGCAAGGACCTGAACTGCTCGTGGGTTGCCAAGCCCATGATAGTTCCAGCTGAAGACACTCATTCGGATTGATTGGCCTACAAGGCAGAGCCCACTGCAGCCCCATTTTTGGATCATCATGCATGGGTTCATAATCAAGAACCGGGTTGTTCAAATTCACTTCTAGGTAATTGTTCTTCCTGCGTCTTTTTTGCTCCAGTATGGTAATTCCCGGATCCTCATCACTTTCCTTGTTATGGGAGTCACCAGCTAGGCCTTCCTTGAATAAAGGATTTTCCTTCATATTAGGCAGCAAAGGTGGCAATGCATGGGAGGTTGGATTGATTGAAATTAACCCTTGAGACACGCATTTTCCTTTGTTAGATAAAGAATGATTTTCACCACCGTTGGGAAGTACCTCCTCTCCGTCATAACCTGCATTCTTACCAAAATTAGAATCTGAAGATTCCAGTGATGATCCCCGCAGCCACCTATCGCCGGCAAGACCAGGATTATTCCGAGATGGAGCTCTGAGAAAAGGGCCATATGGTCGTTCCAACTCCTCACCGTTAGCTTCATATAGTTTTTCACAATTTGAATCGGAGTGTCCAATCTTGATACAAATGAAACAGAATGTTGGCACTCGTTCATACTTGAAGATCACTCATATCCAATCACCTCTAGTTTTTTCAACTTCATCCTCCTCTTCAACGGAAATCTAACATCCATGAGGACCCTCATACAAAGAAATGTTTTGCAGCCTTCAGAGAAGTTCTTAGGATCAGATGAGAGTAGGTACCAATAAAATTTTCGATCTGAATGAGGGTTCAGTCTAAATGAATTCCGGCAGGAACTTCATGTATTTGCACCCATAGACTTGTTTCACATAGATCAACTCTCATAGGGTTTTCATCTTCTTTGAGATGTTTCAAGAGTAGAAGATGATTACTAAAGTCCAAGGACCATGTTCAAGCACTCGGTTCATATCAATAGGATGATAGAATTGAAAAACATAGATTACAGCCCCCATATCCTTGATACGTACTCCTTTCTTCGGACGCCAAACAGATGCCATAGTACTCCTCATTGAAACATACGGTCTGTAAGGAATCGACCAACCAAGCAATAGCGATACTCGACAGACTCCTCCACAGCATCACCTTTCTGCAGTTCCACTCCTTGATCTTCATCTTCAATTGTTAGTTTCGTGTATAAATTGAGAGAATGTATGTAGGATAAGAGATTTAAAAGATAACGGTAAGCTTGTCAAAAGACAAGAGAGAAAATCTCTTCGAGAGGAAGACAGACAAGTATGCAATCAATGGTAAAATAAGACAAGTATGAATAATCGAAATTATTCCTAGA